GTTCCATTTGAAAAAACATAACTTTAGTTCATATTTTCAAAAATATTTTTTTGGTAGAAAAACAGACTACGCTACTGTATTATACGTAAAAAGTTCTACAATAAGCAGTTTTCGCCTTCTCGATACCTTTAACAATAACAGAGATACAGGGGGTGTCCCAAGTTGCAAATTTTTTGAAAAGACCCTGTAGCTCAGAAATGAAGAGGGCTATGAAAATTTGGTTTGCAGCATCTTCCGTTTGACGAAAAAGTGGGACAGGTTTGTGCAAACAGCACCCTTCTATCTTCACTAATAACGGAGATACCCTATGATTTCAACCAAAATGGGACACACTGTACACTTCGCACTAAAAGAGGTTCTAAAAAGAGCAATGTTCGACTGCAAGGTCTACTAGTAAACATTTTTAAGCTTAAAGTATCATAACACTATTTATTTAAACCAAAAATTAAAGAGTATCAAAACCACAAATGACAATGTCAGGAAATAAATAAATAAATGCGGCAACTTCACATTTCTTACAGAAGAGCTACCAACTGAATCCCCAGCGCGAAATTTAAATTCCAGTTAGTCAGCCCGGCACCGAATTATGTCCATGGTTGGCAACAATGAATTTAAAAATCGCGCCCTCTATTACGTAACCAAAAGAGTAATTGATATCAAATATAACTTGCTATATCTTATGATTAACACACTTAATTTTTTCACAACTTTAGAATATATGAAACTCATATCTTTAGTTCTTTGATAATTGTTACAAAAATAGCACTCAACAGAAAACTCCCACCAAATGTTGTTTATAAATTTAAGTGATTTCAGCTACGTACTTACATTCAAACATTTTCTTTTTGCTCCCCAAAAATAAAATGTTCGCAGAAAAATTCCCTAGAATTAGAATTATTAGAATGAGTGGGAGGGGGGTTAATCACTTCGACCTTACAGATCCATTGTGTCCCCCTTTCTTGAATCATAACTCATCATACAGTCCCAGGGCTTTGACAAAAGCCAGTATCTAGGACGGTTTAATAGAGGGTAGTTCTCCATCTCCAATATCAGTCGTACCAAAGTTCATGGCACGAATGGTTGTCGTCTCGGCGCACTCAGTGATGAGGTGTACTGGTGTTTCACCATCTTCCCCACAGAATCTGCATTCGCCGTTTCTTCTTAGTTTCAATCTACTGAGGTGTTCATTGAGGAGACAGTGTCCTGTTAAAAACCCCGTGACAATCCGAAGATTGTTCTTACCCAGACCCAGGAAGATCTGTGATTTTTCTTAATCATAAGCCCTCAGAAACTTCTTCGAGTGTCTTAGGACCATTGCAAGATTTCCATTCCAGGTTGCGGATAAAATCTTCCAAGTTCTTTTGAGTTCCGGCCTTGAGTTGGTTACCACTCTTGAAAGCAGAACGGTTCTGGTCCGAAGTTAGTGGAGTGTTCGCCTTTCCTAGCTAGATTATTTGCTTTTTTCATTGCCTTCTATCCCTTGGTGAGCAGGCACCCAGTGTAGGAGGACTTTGTTTTCTTTGCCTAATTTATTCAGCTTCTCTATGCATTCTTTGACCAATTTCGAATTGATTGATACTGAGTTGATCGCCTTTAACGCTGCTTGACTATCAGATAATGCTTGACTATCAGAAAAATTCCCTAAGTTTTTCCTAACCTATAAATTAATATACAGGGTGGTCCGAATTGTGTTCCGGAAACTTCGGGAGCATATTCTGCAGATAAAAAGAAGTAAAAAACTTCTTATAAATGTATGTTCTAAAATGCTTAGTTTCGGAGATACAGCGTGTAGAAGTTTCATTTTTATTTCGATTTTTTTCAAATAATTTCTAAAGTATCGTCAGTATTTGGATGAAAATTGGTGTTTTGTTTTGTTTTGTGTTGAGTTTTTTGACATGAGAAATTTGTTTTGATGTCATTATGACTCCTCTTTGTAGAGGGCGCCACCTACATGTGTTTTAACTGTTTTGAAGAGTAATAACTTTTTGTCCGTACCTGTATAGAACTGCTGAGTGAAAAAATATACATTTTCTCATTTTTTTACGTAAAAAATTTCTCTTGGTAAAAATCGTTACGAGCAACCCTTCTCGAGATATTCAGAATGGGAATAGTCAATACATGTCATTATTCACAAAAAATAAACATGTTAAGTAGATAGTTATTTGACTAAAAAGATAAATTTGGAAAATTTTTATTTTTTTAAATTAGTCATAAGATTTTCTTCGAAAAAATGATGATTAATGATGGTTTGGCACAAAAACATTTCAAATTTATGATTTCCGTCTGTTAACCATTTAGTCAACATGTTTATAATTTATGTCAATGAAGACAGGTATTGATAATTTCGATTTTAAATATCTCGAGAACTATTACTCGGTAGCGATTTTTACCAAGAGATCTTTTTACGTTAAAAATGTCGTAAATGTATATTTTTTTACTTAGTAGTTTTATACAGGTACGGACGAAAAGTTATTACTCTTCAAACCAGTTAAAAATATGTAGGTGGCGCCCTCTACAAGTAGGAGTTATATTGACATCAAAATCGAATTTCTCATATCAAAAAACTCCCAGACACCAAATTTCATCCAAATATTGCTATTACTTCAGAAATTATATGGAAAAAATCGAAATAAAAATGAAAATTCTACACCCTGTATCTCCGAAGCTAAGCATTTTAGGACATACATTTATAAGAACTTTTTTACTTATTTTTATCTGCAGAATATGCTGCTGAAATGTCCGGAATACAGTTCGGACCACCCTGTATATTCTGATTCTTGATTTAATTTAAAATTCTTACAGCCCTAATTTTCCCCATTGCCACTTATGCCTCAGAGACCTGGACATTGAAGTTGGCAATGAAACGTAAAATCGATGCTTTTGAAATGTGGTGTTATAGACGGCTGCTGCGAATACCGTACACAGCTCACCGAACAAATATTTCTATACTGAAACAACTGAATATCGAATCTAGAATGTGTAATCAATAAATCAGTCATACTTAAGATACTTTGGCCACATATTCAGGAACACCAATGGCGTAGAAAAACTAATTGTGGAGGGAAAAGTGAACGGGAAACGTCCTAGAGGGAGATCTCCAAACCGTTGGGTGGACCAAATGAAGACAATAATAGGTCATAGTCTGCACGAGGCCAGTACTGCTGCGCAAGACAGAACAACATGGAGAGACATCATAAATGCGATATCATAATGTCACCATACTCTTATAGAGTAATAGGAAGGAGGAGGAGGAGGAGGATATAGATTCTTATATATTATTATTTTATTAAAATTCTCTGGCTGATTTAATATCAAAATTCTCATGGAGATTTTTATTCGTTATAGAAAAATATCTTCTTGGGATGTCATTGTCCTTGATTTTGAAATTTTACAACGTTTCTGTCAAATGTATCACTGACCGTTATCTAGTGTGATTGTAGATTGTATCTTGGATGGGAGGGGGGATCACCGCGACCTTATAGTCTATTGTGTCTCGGGGCTTTGACAGTCTCGGAGCTTTGACAAAAACCAGTATCTCAGAAAGTTTTACAGATGTTAGTTCATCTCCGATATATCAGGCGGACCAAAGTTTATGACACGAATGGTTGTCGTCTCGGCGCATTCAGTAATGAGGTGTTCTGGAGGTTTCCCATTTTCCCAACAGAATCTGCATTCGCCGTTGTTTCTTAGTTTCAATCTGCTGAGGTAAATGTTACCTGACTAGTACTGTCTACCCCAATTTAATCGCATTTTAAATTATAAAAATTAATGTTTGAAAGGATTTTGAGCTTCGCGTATGTTTTAATTTTAACTCACCTATAGCGTTCTACCGTGCTGGCAACTGTTACTTTTGGGTCGGAGTGAGAGAAATGCGACGGTGTGTTGTTGCGTTGTTGCCGGTACGCCTTTCCCTATCAAGTAAAGTAAAATCACGATAGCAAACCGCTTATTTTTAAGACCTTTTTTCTAAAAGGTAACTAGATAAAATCTAGAATTATAAGGATATCGTTAGGGTGTCCATTTTTTTTATAACGAGAAAACGTAAGTAATCGCGATAATTTAAAAACTCAACTTTTTTACACATAACACGCCATAACTTATGAACCACTTTAGATACTGACGTTTTTATTTTAAAGATCGGATCATTTACAATATGTTTACATAAAAAAAGTTCGATAAGGTTGTTTTTTTTTCATTATAAAATTTAACCATCCATTTACTTTTAGTGCATAGCAGTATTCAGCAATCGTGTAAGTTTTTTATTTATAAAGATTTTGCATACTGTCTGCTAAGAAAGTTTTTGGAAAACTACAATCAATTATTTGTAATAGATTTCGAGATATCGATTTTTGAATTCAGAGTTCTAATAGCGCGACTACTGTCGATCACCAACTCAATTCCGCTTTTTCCCAAAAATGTAAGTGTTTCTAACTTACACTTAAATATGTTCAAGCTATAGGGAAAATTAAAACGACTCGTTAATAAATAGACAAATAAAGTATCACGAAACGTAATTAAATCGTGAAACTGAACGCATGATATACACAATTCCCTAGAACTTTATGTAATGACAGAGGTACTGATTGGGTCAACCCATAGACAAACAGAAAAATTAAAAGACTGCCAGAAGACATACGACGCGCAGGCAAATGTACCTGTAGCGCATCGACGCAAGTGCCGAAATACGTCCATCTAGCTATCTGTGTTTCGACACTAGTCCGTTAGTCTTAGCATATTCAGAAAGAACACGCTAACCTCCAGCGTTGCCAATTTGTTCACTGTTCCCTCTTTGATCAGTACATTATATACGTATTGTACTCTTCTTACATACGGAAATCTCGACCCAAGACTAACCTTTGCCAGCCCTTAGTATGCTTGTCTGTATTGAAATTCTAGAATGAAAAGGCTATCGCGTAAAGAGGTTGAATACAGTGGTTCAAAGAGTTAAAGCATTCCTCACTTTAAGTAATGTTTGTACCAATACTTCTATTTCATTTCAGGTTACCTTTACGGCCTAAAGAACAAGAGCCTAAGAAAAGCCTTCATGAACTACTGGAGAAAAAAGCAGACGAAGAACGAAGTGAACCACGAGATACAGGCACGAACCCCTAGCACGTGCGGTTCACGTAGACCCAGCCTTACCCCGTTCGGTCTGTTCGCCAAGAACGCCACTGTGTCGAGGAGGATGTCTGAGACCTTGATAGACGTCAACAGATCACTGAAGAATGGCAACAGGAGCAGGATCAAGAGAATCACCTCAGATTTGATGTGGAGACCGTCATCAGGTAAGTGGGTTTTAGACAGAGGAGAAAAAGGTTTCCTTGATTGGAAATATAGTCCATAATGAATTAAAAGTACAGGAAGCAGTGATTTTTTGTGCTTGTTTTTCCAGTGGGTGAAGTTTGTTCGTTAAAATCAATTTTTCGGATAAATGACAATTTGTGAGTCCGGCTAAAATTTTCGGATGGTTTCACTAAATAAAAAATAGAAAAAATCCACTTATTTCCATAGACATAAATACAGGGTCGCTTTTATGTATGGAAACGGTCGATTATTAGGTAAAATATAGGAGGTACCGCAAAAAGTTAAATATTAAAGTTATAGGGCTTCAAAATATCTATTAGCGGGTAATAAATTTAAGTATACAGGGTCGGTCATAAAGTCGTGGCACATCAAAGTTTTATTTTTTTAAATGGAACCCCCTGTATATTTTTGCATATTTCGGTTCTTCCTTCAATTCTAAGCAAAAATCGAAATACACACAAGGTACAGCTCCGTCACGTTGGAACCCGCTTTCAAATAAAGTTTTCGATTTTGGGCTTATTATTAACTATAAACGATGCAATTGATTGTAGTAAATTCAATTTTTTTGTAGTACTAATAATTAGCCAGAAAAAGTAAACAATTTTGCGCAATGTAATAAAGGGAAAAAATATTGTTTTAACAAAGGTCTAAAAACCTTCAAATCAGTTGTAGTTTGTATACAACTAAAGACATTATGTCAAACTATGTTAATTTTCATATTTTACTATAATTCACTAATTCCAATGATCTTTTATTGAATTTTTTTGCTACTACATAAAACTACAAATGATTTTGAAGGTTTTTAGACCTTTGTTAAAACAATATATTTTCTCTTTATTACATTGCGCACAGTTGTTTACTTTTTCTGGCTAATTATTAGTACTACAAAAAATTTAATTTACTACAATCAATTGCATCGTTTGTAGTTAATAATAAGCCAAAAATCGAAAACTTTACTTGAAACCGGGTTCCAACGTGACGGAGCTACAAGGTACCTCATACCAACCGTTTCCGAGTTATTAACTTTTGAAAATTTGACTTAAAAAAAACAGGACTTATCGGGCAAGTCTGGAAATAACAAAATTTTCGTTTAATATTTCAATTCTTCAATTTATGTACATTGTGTATTACGATTATTGTTTAAAATTGAAGGAAGAATTGAAATATGCAATAATATACAGGAGGTTTCATAAAAAATAAAGTTTAATATGTCACAAATTTATGACCGACCCTGTATACTTAAATTTACTAGTAGCCAATACAAATTTAAAACCCCATTACAACAGTATCACAGTTTCGGCAGAATACATCATTAAATCAAACCAAAACACATCAGAAACCAATTAAATCGAATTGTTTAAGTGATATTTTCAAAAGTCAATATCTCGGAAACGGTTGCTTAGAGGTACATTGTGTATTTCGATTTTTACTTAGAATTGAAGGAAGAATTGAAATATGTAATAATATACAGGGGGTTCTATTTAAAAATTTAAACTTTGATGTGCCACGACTTAGTACAGGGCCTTACGACCCTGTATACTTAAATTCATTACTCGCTGATAGATATTTAAAAATCCTACAACTTTTGTTTAACTTTTTGCGGTACCTCCTATATTTTCCCTAATAATCTACCGTTTCCATACATAAAAACTAGACTTTAGTAAAGCATTTGATACTCTAGACCATTCATTGCTTCTAGCAAAATTACAGTATTTTGGATTTTCAGACGGCTCTTTAGAATTGATAAAAAACCTTTTAAAAGGTAGATCACATTGTGTTGTCATGAAACGGGGAAGTTTAAAACAAAAATCTAGTTATATTCCTATGATTTCTGGGGTTCCTCAGAGATCTATTCTAGGGCCACTTTTATTTTCGTTATATTCAAATTCAAATTCAAATTCAAATTCAAATTCAAATTCAAATTCAAATTCAAATTCAAATTCAAATTCAAATTCAAATTCAAATTCAAATTCAAATTCAAATTCAAATTCAAATTCAAATTCAAATTCAAATTCAAATTCAAATTCAAATTCAAATTCAAATTCAAATTTAAATTCAAATTCAAATTCAAATTCAAATTCAAATTCAAATTCAAATTCCAATTCAAATTCAAATTCAAATTCAAATTCAAATTCAAATTCAAATTCAAATTCAAATTCAAATTCAAATTCAAATTCAAATTCAAATTCAAATTCAAATTCAAATTCAAATTCAAATTCATATTCAAATTCAAATTCAAATTCAAATTCAAATTCAAATTCAAATTCAAATTCAAATTCAAATTCAAATTCCCTATTTTGTCTATAAAAATCTATTTTTTTATTTGATGTACTATTAATGCAATTCTGACAGTTCGAAAAAAAAAATATTAAGCTTATCTACATCCGCTAAGTTTTCAGGAACTTCCGGACTTGATTTAAATGTCAACTTAAGTCGTTTAGCACCTTTCCAGAAGTCTTTACCAGTCTTTTCCGATAAACCCTTAAAATAACTAATTTTTTCTCTAACTATAGCATGTTTTGTAAAATTCCTGAGTTGACGATAATATTGTAATTTGGCTTCAGATCGTTGTTTTAAATATTTTTGATGTGCTTTGTCTCTAAGTTTGATTAATAATTTAATGTTATCCGTTATCCAGGGTAAATATGGTTTATCTGCGATTTTCTTCTTTTGCAACGGTGCATGTTTATTAAGGAGATAAAAATGTAATTATATAGAGTTTTTATTCTAATATTAATATCCGCTATATAAAAAATATTTTCCCAAGGTAACATAATTGCATCTTTTTTAAAATTTTCCTGGTTAATATGATTATAATCTCTATATTCAATATATTTCGTAGAGCTATGGGATATTTGTAGAGTAAATATACTATACGTAGCTGATATGAATAAGGAATTACAGTTTTCTAAATTGCAGCAATATGCGGATGATTCTCAAATTTATTGCAGAATAGATACTAATAATTTGGCACAATTTCAGTTAAATTTTAACGACGATCTTAATAAAATTAATAAATATGCTCTAGATCATAATTTGAAATTAAATGCCGGTAAATCTTGTGTTATAGTATTTGGTAGTGATATAAACAAAATTACAAATACGGCTGGTAACATGAATATCCATATAGATAATGTTGCGATACCCATTGTTACAGAGACTAAAAATCTTGGAGTTTATTTTGATTCGAAGCTTTCATTTCAGGCACATATAACTACTAAATTAAAGGCTGCTTATATACGGTTGAAGAATTTTTCGTCTCTTAAGAAATATATACCATCAAAGACTAAGTATCAATTATGTGACACACTTATTTTATCTTTATTTGATTATGGCGATGTTGTTTATGGTACATCCATAAACGCTAGATTCTCTAGAAAAATCCAAATACTTCAAAACTCGTGTCTACGGTTTTCTTTTAACATTCCTTTTAGAGATCATATAACGCCACATCTTAAAAATTTATATATTTTATCCATGACTAACAGACGACAATTTTATTTAATGACATTCATTTATCGAATTTTAACTACAGAGCAGCCTCCCTATTTGTTCTCATTGTTTCACTACGTTGACCATGATCATTCGACTAGACAAGTGCATTATTTTAAAATTCCTCAACACCAAACAGCTAACTTCCAAAAATCTTTCAGTTTCATGGCGCCACATTTGTGGAATAATATTTCTAATAACTTTAAATTTCAATCATTTACAGATTATAAAAAACAAATTAAAAATGATTTACTAAATTCGTAAATATTATAATTTCTTCCACTGATTTGTGAGATCTTGTTCTTCTGATATGCCCGTCATTGGTTGCTGTTCCGGTTTTTACACTGTTTCATTGTGCCTCTCTGCTTATCTCCGCTCGTCCCTGATAAAATTATATTTTCACTTTTTTTATATAATTTTAATTTTGTTTATTTCTATAATTTAATTTATTTCTATTTTGTATTTGGGGTCGCACCACTCTGGCACTTTGTGCCATTGTATCGGTTTTTCAATCGCGGTGCGATCCCTTTAGACACACATTTATTAATACTAATATTATTCTGTAAAACTTAATGGGGCTAATAAAGAAATTTGACTTTGAATTTGAATTTGAATTTGAATTTGAAAACGACCCTCCTGTATCTGACATTTATTAAAATGAATCATTTTATTAAGGGAAGTAATAGTCTGGTACATCCCAAGTGGAAGGAAGTCAAACTGGCTGAAAAGTTGCGGATGGAAAATTTTATAGATTTTTGAATTCCGTAAGATTATATTCCCAAGCTGGAAATTTATCATATTTAACATTGACTAATCATTTATAAAATTTAATGAAATAATTAATTCAAGCAAAAAATATTGCACTTAAAGTATCCCAATTTTATTAGTTAATTTGAATTTGAATTTAATTTAATTGAATTTAATTTGAATTTAATTTGAATTTGGTTAGAAGTTTGGATTGAATTTGAATTTGAATTTAATTTGAATTTAATTTAATTGGGCCAATTGAATTTGAATTTGAATTGAGTTTGAGTTTGAGTTTGAGTTTGAGTTTGAGTTTGAGTTTGAGTTTGAGTTTGAGTTTGAGTTTGAGTTTGAATTTGAATTTGAATTTGAATTTGAATTTGAATTTGAATTTGAATTTGAATTTGAATTTGAATTTGAATTTGAATTTGAATTTGAATTTGAATTTGAATTTGAATTGAATCTGAAAAACGACCCTGTATCTGACATTTTTTAAAGTGAATCATTTTATTAAGGGAAGTAATAGTCTGGCACATCCCAAGTGGAAGGAAGTCAAACTGGCTGAAAAGTTGTGCATGGAAAAATTTTATAGATTTTTGAATTCCGTAAGACTTATATTCCCAAGCTGGAAATTTAACGTATTATTTGATACTATCATATATATAACATTGACTAATAATTTATAAAAATTAATGAAATAACTAATTCAAGCAAAAAAATATTGCACTTAAAGTATCCCAATTTTATTAGTATTAAAACAAATCTAAGGAGAAAAATAAATATGATAAAATATTTATACCTTCAATCGATAGTCTATTATGTATACACGAAGATATTTAGAATAGATTTATAATTCATTTCGAGAAAATATTACTTCTTTTTCATAGCTAATAATATCTTTCTGAAATAAATTGGAAAACAAATATCGATGGAAGAGAATCTAGGTTATTATTCTGATAATTTTCCATTGTATACAAACACTAAAAACTTTTCTTACAAAAATATCAAAATATCCCATATTTATATGCAAAAAAAACTAAATATCAAAAAGAAATTAGAGGAGAATAATGTGTGATCTAAAAAAAGTTGGCGAATTGGCTTAGAAATGATAATCCATAACTTTCCTCACATATTTTTACACAGAAAATGGCAGCGATCTTCATTTCCAAGCCATCGCTGACGCCGTCTTTTTCGATCGTATGGTACCATATAAAAACAACAGTAAGTTGGTTAAATAAAGTTGTATAATATGTTTCATTTAATTTAATCAAATACCATACAAGGGAATACACAAACATATAAGGATTCTACAAGTAAATATATTAAAAACATATTTGGACATGCATTGATAATATTCCTATGTTTATAACATTTATTGCACCGGTTATTTACCCATATTTATTTTAAAATCTATAATTTTATACATATACCATACATATATTTAGAGTATGCTTTATTAAAACCAATCCTATTAATACATAAAACAACAAATTATAACAGGCAATGATGGATAATTATGCCGTGTTTGTTGATACTCAAAGCTATCGAAAAATAATTACTTATTACAATCATTTGAAACCTATTTTGCATTAATTAATTTTGTATAATTAATATTTTACTCGGTTACACAGATAATATTTAAAAGCTACCGAAAATTGTATGAATCGTAATCCAATTGGAAAAAATATAATTAGAGTGGATTAATAGTCTATCTAGTATACTATATTTATTTATTGGTTTATTAGATACAGTAATAACTAGACAACGCACACCGGTTAATATATGGGAGCAGTCTAGAATAAATTAGATTTATTAAGTCTTTTTAATCTTGAATTTAAAGAAATGATTAAGATTCTATAAAAATTTGTCCAAAACATGTACATTCAAAAAAAAATTATTACTACTGCTACCACTACTACTACTGCCATTACTCGCTGACGAGTATTTGGGACGCATCAGAAGATGGCTACGCAAGACGTTTCCTTTAATGAGCTTTTCTGTGACTGAAAAGCCCGATACGTGATGTCTCCGTACTGATACATGATGTTCCTCTTCCGCACTCCGGACATTTAAAAATCTCATTGCTTTGTTGTCTCTTTGCTTCTGGGTTGTCGCTGTTAACTGAGTTTACAATTCTTTTCCAAACCATATCCCCTTTAAGTTTTTGTGGAAAATATCTTTGTACCTTTTGAGTTGTCCACCCGGTTTCCTCTACCGTCTAGAAGCTCACCGCATAGAAGAGATTTTGGCAGGCGGTTTTCGTGCATCCTGCCCATCTTAAGCGAGATTTAGTAATCATGACTTTAACGCTCTCGCAGCTTGCTCTTTTAAGGTTCAATACGTTTGAGACACGATAGAACCATTTGATACTTAAGAGTTGTCTAAGGTCTGTTGCAACTTGTTTAATGCGTTCATGTGTCGGCCGTATGGCACCCAGGTTTTGCTTCCATATAACATGGTGGGGATTATTGTTGGTCGGTACATTGCAAGTCTCGTTTTTGTGCTCAAGTCCTAATTATAGAAAACCTTGTCTTTTAATTTCCAGGATGCTTTTGACGTACTGTTAATCCTCTGCTGAATTTCAAAGCCGATGAAAAAAAAATGATTTTGAATTCAAATTCAAACAATTTCATTAAACACCGAAAATCAAACAGAAATGCACTACAATAATATACAATGTCTTGTAAGTAATCTAGAAATAAATAACTGTGTGAAGCATCCTATAAAAAAAATAAAGATGCAGTGATGATAACTGTAAGAATATTTTTAAAACTCTTTTTTATGCACAGTTTTATTGGAACTAATGTAAATAGTAGCTAGTGTTGATTATAATGAGTTTAGAATGGTTAGCTAAACAAAAGTTAATAAAGATATATACCCCTGAAAGTATTAAAAAATTCTAACTAGAAACAATACGTACTATTTGTATTAATTTGTTATAACCTTTATTTTCTTAATTAAAAAACAAACATGACATATCATTGACCTAAAGTTTAATTTTGTTTAATATTTAAAGTTACACACACTTAATACTTGACTGAATTCAGTGCGTATATTATAATTTTTTTCACTTGATATTAGTGTCTCAGGAAAATTATTTAACTACTACATTTACATAATTTTTAATATTTTTACTTTACTTTTTATACTAAACAGCCTTGAGAAATATTCAAATTTAACAAATGAGCCTCATGTCTCAAAAAATTATGCAGGAAACGTTATAAACTCTGGTATCAAAGTTTAATGATCAAACGCAACAGAAAGACAATTCTCACAGGAAAATACATTAGACTATTTTTAACTCTCTAAATTTACTTGATCTTTAAATATTTTGATCATACAATATATACATATACAAAGCAGAACTTTCGAATTTAATATTAAAGTTTATGAATGTCATTTTTTTCCGGTTCATGTGATAAACATTAACAAGAGAGAGAGAATGACAATGACAATCTGTGGCGTAACAGCTAAGGATCGAAAAACAAAGCATAACTAACTTTCAATCTTGCATTCGATTCGCTTACAATCAGCTATCTAACAAAATACTCCCTGAAATAGACACAAGATTCTTAAATACTTCGTTATCATACTTATAATATCAAATATATCATAACCTTCCACAACTTAATGCATTCCTCTATTTTCTTCAGCCACCAACCTGAATCTTTCGCCAAAAGAAGAAACCCCACCCAAGCCAATCAAACAGACGATAAGCTGCAACACTTTACGAGTTCCAGAAGAAGGAGCAACATCTGTTACAGTGCTAGAGGAAGATATTCGGATAGCTTTCGAAATGGAAGGGAAAGCTGATTCTCCCAGTAAGCCGTACAGCCCTGGAGTGTTTCTGAAAACGTTCTTCAAATTCGATCAAGAGAAAGTGACTAAAAAGGCCAAAGAACCGTCGGAAACTAGCCCCAAAAGGTTAGAAGGAATATATAGATGTAATGAATGTTTTTGTAGTGATAAACAAGGTAAACTAATTTAATGTACGCTTATTATAAAATAGACTGAATATCGGCATTCTTTAAAATCTTCTTGTAAATCTTTAAATTTCATTGAAAACATAAAATGTTAAAAGTGCCATGTCTCGAACGTAGTTATTCCACTACAAAAATTTCTGAAATCTCGTGTGAAACTTTCATGTGCAAAAAAAAGTCAGTTATCTAAGTTACTGGATTATATTATAAATCAAGGAAGGTGGGCACAATAGATCTTTACGGTCCCATTCTACATCCTGGTTAGTGGATATAGTCTATGCAAGGATATTTAACAACATTGACCTATTCATAACATTCTAGGGTCGGCATTTCTGGCCTTGGGTGTCGATTTTCGTGTGTACGAAGAGTACGGTCAACACGCTTAGTAAAATAATATGTACTGAATAAAGACAGAAGGCAAGTATTTTTCCAAGCGCATGGAATCTAACGTCAGATTAAGTCGTTATGTAATAAATGCTTCGTATTTTTGCTCTCTCCGACTTACTAGACTGCCATAGCGATTCACTCCTCTACATGTAAACGCCGACCCAAGGTTTCGCTTGTCAGGATGGTATAAATTATTATCTAATAAATTACCCATCAATATTTATAATGACCGTATCATTATTAGACATATTTATTTCTATAATAATTATAATGACTGCAACATATTCTACTAATTAAAATACTTTAAAGAAAAAATTAAAGTGCGCTGTTTAGATTTACTTAATAATCGAAATAGTAGATTATTATTTTATAATTAAAGTGCCATACAAACACCAAGTCATTGTAATTATTATAAATATAAGGATATCTATAATATTGATACAGTCACTATGAATGTTGAGAGTTAATTAATTAGATAATAATTTATAACAAAGTTGTTGAATATGAGCTTCCATGGATACTAGCTAACTTAAATAACTTTTTACAAATGGTTTTACATGGATTTCACAACTTTTTACAGTGGAAGAACCGCATTTTTTACATTTTATATTTTTGATAGGATTATTTTTGTCATTCTATGAGGTTTTTTAGGCCATTTTTTTCTAGTGTAATATATCTTATAATTAGTAATACAATCAATAGGTAAATAAGCTTTTCAATCATCAGACCAATAAACAAGCAATCGATTACTAAAGGTGAAACCAAAGTAATCAAAGCTCATTCTTGCTACTTTGTCTCCACTAGACAGTCACTTACCGGCAGAGGCTAGACGCTTGAAATTTAATAATCATTATTTTTTATTTAATGAATAATAAAATGGAGATTTTTTTTTAATTTTTTCTTCCCTTTATAGGCTAAATGCCAAAAAATCAAAATTTGAAGTTTGTGTGACTTCCCAGTGAGCATTTTATTCCTTTAAGGGAAATGTGTTCTAGGTAACGTCGTTGTTACGTTACCAGGCCCTTCTTGTGCCTGATAAAGAGCAGCAAAACGCAGATACGTAACTGTTCCCTAATGTTCCCTAAATGTGACAAAACATTGCGTACTGGGTTCTACTTTATTTACCTAATCTCATTTTAATATATGGTTAACAAGTTTAAAATAGTTAGTTTTATGAGATTTTATTACCCTGATAATAATATAAATTATTATTTATATAATAATATAATATTTTTTTAACAATGATAATTTATGTCTGAAGAATGATGAATAATAATTTTTAATTATTTTAATAGTTCAACGCAGAAAAATTATGGTCAATTTTTAATGAATTGATCATTAAAAATATCAAAAACAATGTTTCCTGATAAGGCTCCGATTTCAGATCACCGAGAATTTTAATCACGCGAGCATATTCCGAGGAGAGCGAAAAAAATTCACAAGGCAACTCACCCAGTAAAGACATAAACCGGAAACATTCCAATTCGGCATCGAATCTTGTAGAGAAGAAATGGAGGACAATAAAATATGAGGTTTGTTGTCAATTAAAACAATTTATTGTGATACTGTCTATTTATACATATTTTGATCAATGATATAATTTTAGGCTGCTCATTTATATTTGTCAGTTTTTTTGGTTATCTTGGTGGAAGCAATTCAAGGTAATAAGTGTAGCTTGACACTAATTTTTGTTTCATACAAAGTGTACACTAAAGATGAAGGACAAAACAATCTGACCCCTAACCAACAAAATAAAAACACTAAATCACCACAATACACCAAAACACTTTTACTTTTACACTGGACGCGCGTTTCGCTAACCATGTTAGCATCATCAGCAGATGATTATAAACTAAAGTACAATCTACAAGGTGAGCGTTTATATACTCGCTCAGTATCTCGAGTGGGCGTAAGTAAAATCTAGCTAACCGAGGCATTTTTCAACCGGCGTAACAGTTAGATTTCCGCCACTAGAGTAGTAGGAACAAAGAACTTGAAGGAATTGGACCGTTGTCTCTGTTCATACTTTACGTTTATTAATTCTGATGCTTTCATATGCATTTAGTTGCCTGTAATCTGAGACTTGTTTAATTAATTTTAAATTATTAAGATCTATGCAATGTTCTTTATCAACAATATGTTCGGCAACGCAAGATTTATTCGGTCTACCATCTCTTATCTGAGCTAAATGTTCTTTAAATCTAGTTAATATTGATCTTCTAGTTTGCCCAACATATTTCTGATTACAATCTTTACAAGAAACTTCATAAATACCCGATCTTTCCAGTGGAGGTTTTTTCCTTTGGATTACCTAATAATTGTTGTAATTTATTATTCTCACTATACACAAGTTTATAATTGACATTCTTAAAAATTCCTTTTAGACCACGAGATAACTCTCTATCAAACGGTATCGAAAATATTTAGACGTATCTTTCTCCACTTGAAAAGTCGAATTTTCAGAAATCATTAACCTATACCTATGTTTTCTAATTAATTTATCAACTAGTGAAGGAGAATATCCATTACACTCAGCTACATTCCTAATGTAATCTCTTTCTATTTCATATCTTTCGTTGGAAAGTGGGAAACTAAGTAATCTATGAACTAAGAAATTTAAACTAGCCATTTTATGTTCAACACTATGATGTGATTCATTAGGAATATATCTGCGTGTGGTCGTATTTTTCCTATATATATATCAAATTCCAGGCAATTTAAAAAGCTCAAAAAACAAACATGTTTTCCAAAGAGACATAAACATAGTGGAAAATCTTTCTTCGCAGACTTTTGATAAACAAGAGCTCAGTTTATTAAACAAAGGTTTAAAGTATGCATTGCCCAACTCTGGTAGCGCTTTGGAGGAAATCGTCGTTGGTGTTGAAACTGCTATTCAGCACTTGCCCGAGGCTTCTAAAGTATTTGCAAGAGAGGCTTGTAGAAATCAGTTATCAAAAAATATTGTTTCAAGTAATTCATTAAAATCTAACAAAGAGCACAATATTGTCAAGAGTTTGCGTAACAAAGATTGTTTCTATCTAAAAGCTGATAAGGGAAATAAGGTTGTTATATTAGATAAAAAAGACTATTATGATAAGGTTAACAACTTAATCGATAATGGCCCCTACATAAATTTGAAAAAGAATCCCTTGTCTAAGATGGTAGCAGACGTTAAAAAAACTCTAAAAGAATGTAACACCCTTATTGATCTTTCTTTAAAGAGGAAATTGCAAGTATCCAATCCCTCATTACCAAAATTGTATGCTTTGCCAAAAATTCATAAGCCGGACAAGTCTATGCGCCCAATTGTTTCGGCTGTAGGTTCTCCGACTTATAATTTGGCAAAATGGTTATCAAGGGAGTTCGAAAATTTACCGATCATGAACCTTCTTTAGCAGTTAAAAATAATATTGAATTCATTAACAAAATTGAAGATATAACATTGCATGAAGGTGAAATTTTGGTCTCCTTTGATGTATCTTCGTTGTTCCCAAGTGTTCCAATTCCACACACTTTAGGCTACTTGAAGGAATTACTGAACGCAAATGGTCTCGACAACAAAACTGTGACTGAATATATTGAGCTTACATCGTTATGTATGAAACAAAATTGTTTTCAATTTAATAACAACTTCTTTGAACAGCGGGAAGGTACAGCAATGGGTAATCCATTGTCTCCATTTTTGGCTAATTTATTCATGAGCAGGTTTGAAGTGGTGGCTAAGAATCAGTTTGAGTATTTTACAAGAGTATGGTTTAGGTATGTGGATGATATTTTTGCTGTTTTTAACAAACATTCAGACACCATAGATAATTTTATTTCTAAGTTAAATAATCGTTTTCCTTCCATTAAATTTACACATGAAATTGACAACAACGACAGATTACCATTTCTAGATGTATTAGTTATTAGAAATACTAATAATTGCCTGGAATTTGATATCTATAGGAAAAATACCACTACACGCAGATATATTCCTAATGAATCATATCATAGTATTGAACATAAAATGGCTAGTTTAAATTTTTTAGTTCATAGATTACTTAGTTTTCCACTTTCCAACGAAAGATATGAAATAGAAAGAGATTACATTAGGAATGTAGCTGAGTGTAATGGATATTCTCCTTCACTAGTAGATAAAATAATTAGAAAACGTAGGTATAGGTTAATGATTTTTGAAAATTCGACTTTTCAAGTGGAGAAAGATACGTCAAAATTTTTTTCAATACCGTTGATAGAGAGTTATCCCGTGGTCTAAAAGGAATTTTTAAGAATGTCAATTATAAACTTGTGTATAGTGCTAATAATAAATTACAACAATTATTAGGTAATCCAAAAGGTAAAACACCTCCACTGGAAAGGTCGGGTATTTATGAAATTTCTTGTAAATATTGTAACCAGAAATATGTTGGGCAAACTAGAAGATCAATATTAACTAGATTTAAAGAACATTTAGCTCAGATAAGATATGGTAGACCGGATAAATCTTGCGTTGCCGAACATATTGTTGATAAAGAACATTGTATAGATCTTAATAATTTCAAATTAATTAAACAAGTCTCAAATTACAGGCAATTAGATGCATAATAAAGCATCAGAATTAATAAATGTAAAGATAGTATGAACAGAGACAACGGTCCAATTCCTTCAAGTTTTTTGTTCCTACTACTCTAGTAGCGGAAATCTAACTGTTACGCTCAGTGGGCTCTGACTCGGTTGGCTAGATTTTGCCACGCCCACTCGGGGCCCACTGAGCGAGTATATACACGCTCACCTTGTAGATTGTACTTTAGTTTATAATCATCTGCTGATGATGCTAACATGGTTAGCGAAACGCGCGTCCAGTGTAAAAGTAAAAGTGTTTTGGTGTATTGTTGTGATTTAGTGTTTTTATTTTGCTGTGTAACACCAAAGGTTCCAACCCTCAACTGTAATCCCTAACCAAGTCTCAGTGAAAACTGTAAGCAGCCTCGTTTTTATTTGAGCCGCTCACTTCATAATTCGATTAATTCCGATTTTTGAAAAATCTTAAATTTAAGATATGAAACTATAGTACTATTCTTTTAAAAGTTCCTCAATATGGCCGACCTAGTTACGAAAATTGGTAATTTTTTTTAATGAAAAATAAGTTGGCGAATTCCTTTGAATAAGAAGACTAAGGAAGGAGCATAATGCTATCCATGTATTCATGCATGGTGGGCGGAAAAGGCACCATAAAAGCTCTCTAGGGTGGGGATCCTTGACAGTTCTGTTTGACGATTCATTTGACACATTTGAATTTGATTTGAAATTTTGTGGATTTGTCAGTCTTTACGGAGCTTATGTTATTTATTATTTATCTCTACTACTGATAGTTGCATAAAGGTAGTAAATCTAGTTGGAAATTGTAAGCAGAACTTAAATTAACAGTGACACTATCAGCGATTTATCGAAAAGACTTAAAATAGTTGGTTGTGTAGCGTGCGGTAGATCTCGGCAAAAATTGAGGAAATAATGGAACAACTTTCGCTAGTAAGTGACTATATAGTCTGTCCAGCTGAAAGATCCTTGACAGTGATAGATGTGTCTGTCATTTTAATTTCAAACTAGTTTATTTTATTTTACAAAGAAATAAGTTGGTACAACTGGAACGCATAGCGATATCTGTGGCGATATATTTAAAATTTGATTGACAAGATGACAAGTGATTACTTCAAAATTGTATAAAACTGAAAAAATGTAATCGAGTTATTTTATTTAATAAAAACGGTATGTGTTAATACAAAACAAACAAGAACAAGGCACTACATACCAAAAAAATATAAAAAATAACTATTATTTACTTTCAAGCTTTATGAAACTACCCGCATTTATGATTATATTTATCAATATAACTTATGTACAAATACAAATTTGTAATATTCCACAGGTATAAATAAAACAACATAGGTAAATACAACAACTATTTTATTAATAATAACACCTACCAAATTTTATACCTTAAAGGTGGATTAATTACCTTTAATCTTAATTTTTTTAAACCAGTACCTTTTGACATTATTTTTCTGCACCAGTACTAAAATCCATTATTTACCTATCGTGTGATGTCGATATTTTACAGCTACTCCAGTTTTTAGTATGTGTTTAGTTTGATCCTTATATACGAAATGCACTTATCTACGACGAAATGGTATACAAACTTTATCGATGGCAACTTCATTGGTGTATAAGACTTTCTGCCTGGGCAGCGTGTATTAACCATAAACTGTGCTCTGGGCCTACAGTTAATTTTCACTCGATTTTTCCTCCACTTGACTTCAAAAGACACAAAACACACGTAATAATACGAATCAAAATGCATCATCTTTCAAAATGCAGGGTATTTAACAAAAGTTGACACAAAATTATAACCAATAATTTGGCAAGACTTTGACAAGCGTCAAAAATGACAAAAATCTAAAGGCGAGTTCATACGCATCGGCGTCCGTTTGTCGTTCATCGTTCCGTCAAACCAATAAAATTGAAATACGATCTGTCATTTTTTAAATAAACCAATAAAACTGGTTAAAAACAAGAAGACACGACGTATGACGGATTTATATTTAAACCCATCCATAGATAACTTAAAAATTTATTAGAAACTTTTTTAGTAAAAATAAATTAGATTGGTATGGGACGTGTCATCTGCTTTTCTTCCAGTCATCAAGTTCGTCGAAATCTTACCTGGAGAAAAAAAACAGAGTATAATATACATAATGTGTAGTAAACTGATCATTTATGAAATCTGCTTAAATAAACTAAATTATATATTTTTTCTTGCATTTTAGCTTTTATTTATTACTTGTCAAAGATTAGATGTCGTGTGAATTTAGATACGTTAATTTGACTTACCTGCATCAGTAGCGTATCGGATGTTTGTGTTAATAAATACTTATTATAATCCTATCTATTTTTATTAGAATTATATATTTTATAACAATTTTAATAACTACCAACATTTATTCACAACGTAAAATAAAACAACAAATTATTGAGTCTACCCCACGTCTACCCTACATCATAGTTTTACATTTTTTAAATAAAATTAGAACGACACTGATAAACCGGAATTTAAGTCGGCCATATTTGAGGCCCATCGCGGTGTACCTAAGATTTTTGATATGCTCCTTCCTTAGTCTTCTTATTCAAAGGCGAATTCGCTAAATTCAGAAATTGATTTACTCTTTGCTTAACAATAATATTTTTCAGGATTGTCAAGTTGACGTTAAAGTTAGGATATTAGGTGGTTGTCATAAATAAAAACATAGATTATTGAAATTATTTAATAAGAATAAAGGTATTTTACCGCAGATCCGAAGAGATTTTACTTAAAGGTATTTTATAAACTTTCTCAGTGAGAATATTAACTCCCCTGTTTCTTATATTTCAGTTAAAGGGACGTAAGAACTATAGGAAATAAATTTTTGTTTTCATGTTTTGACGATATCTGAGAGTTCCTAGAATTATCAAGGTTATTGAATAATTATAGTTGTTTAATAAGTGAAATTAATAAATCCTGGAAGAACTTTAAGTTTATAAGTTTATATTCTTTTCTATGAGTATTAAGATTTTGATCTGGAAGAACTTTCATAAAATTCCTCCAATGAATAAGGACACACATTTAACAGGATATTTTTAATTAATATAATTTTTTAATGAAATGTACTTGTGTGAAAAAAGAAAAGCAATTCCTCATGAAAAAGGGAAACAGTTTCAGGCATGAGACAGAAATTAAAAATTGATACGACTATAAATATATAAAAACTAAGCAAAAAAATAATGCTACAAAGATTTTAAAATGGCATGTCAAAAAAATAAAACTTTAACATTATACCAGGTCTTTCTTAACATTTTGTTTTATTTTAATTAAAAAAATGTCGGCATTACACAAAGTAAAAATGTGTTTGCAGAATTATTTTTTGTTAATTTTGTTAACCCTAGTATACTGGACTATTTTAAATCTACAGAGTATCGTCAAATGTTGTCTGTTCTTAAATAACAAACAATTTATGAAAAAAGTGCATTACACAAACATCTACATAAATAATTAAACATTTAATGAACTTTTGAGCTTATAAAAATATATATTGTTTTGAAGAAGCAAACTATTATACTTTTTCACAAACAGTACATAAGTTTCCATGATGTTCTCTAAATATTGCCTGCTCCTGCTAGCAGAGGTTACAGTATGTGTGAAACATATTTTTATTGTTTTATTATGATACTCTGGTATCAGATTTTCTTTAGAAAGATTTAGAATCTTAATGACTTCTTGGAAGCATTGCAAATTTTATTTTTTTTAACATTATTCGAGTTTCCAGTATTCTAGGGTTAAAGAGTATCCCATTGCCATTCCACAGCACCTTCTTCATTAAAATATGTGCAAAATTGTTCTCTGATATCCTTTGCACTTCGCAAATCGTAATTGCCATCTCTAATTTCAGACAAGTGGCTGAGGTTTTCCCTCCAAAGTCCAGGAATTAATCTTCCATTTATATCTTGATCCACTAAGTTAGGAGTGACATATAGCTTCTTGTCATATTTTATAATAAAGTTATGTAAACATACTGTCGCCTTGATAACATTTTCAATATTGTCTACTTTACTAATTATCGGATGTTGGAATATGCGCCAACGCGCAACTAATATTCCGAATGCATTTTCACTAATTCTTCTGGCTCTTGATAGCCTATAATTAAATATTCTCCGTGATACGCTGTCATCTGTCTTACCAGGATACGGTCTCATTAAGTTTTCTAGTAATGGGAAGGCTTCATCTCCGACAATCACATAAGGCAAGGGCTGCCTGCCTTCAGATATTGATCTGGGTGGTGGGATATCCAACGTTTTATTAATAATTTTCTGTCCTATCAAGGAGTTTCGGAATATCCCACCATCGCTTTGCCTTCCCTGTCCACCTATATCCACTAATAAAAATTGATACTGAGAGTCTACCACAGCCATTAAAACAATTGAATGCGACCCTTTATAATTAAAAAATGTACTTCCAGAGTTTAGTGGTGCCTGTAAAATATATGACAATCAATAGTCTATTTTGAAATATCTAAATACATACCTGAATGTTAATGTGTTTACCATCAATTGCCCCAATGCAATTTGGAAAATTCCACCTATCTTCAAACCCATCTGCTATGGCAGCCCAATCTTCCAACCTAGGAGGGTTTAACACAAGTGGCTTTAAAACATTCCACAGCACCTCAAGTGTTTCTGAAATGATACTGCATAGAGTAGATTTTCCAATCCTGAACAAATATGACAGGCTTGCTAGGCTATTACCAGATGATAGAAATCTAAGTCAATTAAAATAATTTTAGTATTTCATATCTCTATATTTTAACATTACTATTTATAGTGATATTACCGTAGAGTTACAGATAATCTGGTTCTGGAGCTAATCGGTTCTCTACGTGTATCACATTTTCTGATATGTATTAATAATAACTATAACTACACAAAACTAGAACAATAACAACTACAAACAAAACTGGAACAACTACAAAACTGGAACTATACTAGAAACAATAACAACTAGAAAACTAGAACTATACTATAAACAATAACAACTACAAACAAAAACTACAAGACTAGGTACAAAAACTACAAAAAAACTGGAACAACTACAAAACTGAAACTATACTATAAACAATAACAACTAGAACTATACTATAAACAACTATAACTACACAAAACTAGAACTCTAAATTTAAATTATAACAAAAACCAACAAAAATATAATAATCTGAATCTGGATGCACCGAGAACAATGGAAAAAGGCAAAGTAAACAAAGAAAAAGGCAAAACAAAAGGAAAAACAAAGGAAAAAGGCAAAACAAAAGACATTTGAATTTTGAATCCTTGTCAACTGTCAGCGACAGCTGTTTACTGCTCTGTTTACTATCGGTAGGTTTAAATTTAAATTCATCATTATACGCTTTGAGTTCCTTCTCGAACGCGACATTCTACGACTTGATGCTGGCGATATTAGCCTGGAAAAATGTGATACAATGGCAATACGTATTTTAAATGAGATTGACACGTATCACCATCGTATCACTTTTGATGCACCTCGAAGTAAAATTATCCAGTGTAATCATCCTTGTTTGCATATTTTTATTCAGTTCGCTGTTTCACATCTCGTACATTACTACTGTTCCCTATTTTGTATCTGCATGTGTATGCAATGACGACTTTACTGACATTAGAAGACATTAGCGTGAAGGTATCCGGGTTAAATATCGCTGTGGTACCATGGTATCAAGCGCGGTTTTAGGGGAGGGGTAATGGCGGTAATTACCCCCCCCCCCCAGACCGATCGAACTTATATTAATTTTATTAAAATATTTTTAATAATACGTAAAAAAAATATTTTTTACGCGTATAAAATTATTTGTTAACCGTAAAGAACTATTTTTTACACGTAAAAAACTATTTGTTACACGTAAAAAAATATTTGTTACATGCAAAAAAAAAAAAAAAAAAAAAAAAAAATAATAAAATTAAACAAAAATAACTTTTTTTTTTTTTTTTTTTTTTAGTTTTTTTTTCAAATTTATTTTAATTTATTCACTTTTTAAATATAAAATGGTAGCCCCTTTTTCAAACATGTCCTTCAAATCCTTCAGTTTAGTACAGTTGTACAAATATAGGAAGAGACTTGGGGATAGCACCGGTCGCGTGTTATTTTATATTTCTCCCGTTTCTAGCTATACTTGTTAAGTTGTAGCTGTTAATAAGAAGTTTTACTTCAAATATGCACACATTTTTTTTGTTTAAAATTATGCATGGTATCATGGTATATTCTGGCTGATTATAATAATATACAGGGTGAGTCTTAAATAAGTGTAAATATTTGCTGGGAGATCTCGTTAAAAAGAATATTTTCTTTTTGTCGTTTCCAAAATAACCGCATTATTTTATTTTGAAAATTTCCAAAAAAAACGTTTTTTGCTTAAATTTTTGGAGCCACTGAACCTCTTCTGGGTTTTTTGGTTTCTTGTAAATTTAATCTACTACCTATTATGTTTTTTAACTAAGTACTAAAAAAATTCCAAAAAATTAAAAAAAAATCCAAATTTTAAAAATATTTTCGCGATAAAAATCTTATAATCGCGTTTCTGGGGTTGAAATATACTACCCCTAAAAATATTTGCACTTTTAAGACATACCCTGTATAAGAACAGAAAACGGCCGAATGAAATGTTTAATATTTAATAATGACTTTAAAAACAAGATAAATATTTAAAACTACAAGGCCAAACTACGACCAAATATGAAACTGGGGTAAAATGGTGAGTCGAAACTGTTAAACACGGATAACAGAACGGATCTAGAGCTAACAATCATACCGGAGATTCACCACATCTCGGAGGCCAGGCCGACAGTATAGTAGTATTATCGAGAAAGTCTCTATGTGTGAGGAGCGGAGCTACTATCATAGAGAGGGAACAGAGATGAGCGTACCAGAGTGTGATCTATATCTATCTGTTGATATTCCTGGCGAGCTGTGGACGACAGGATGAGCGATGACTGTAATATATGTTCACCAGAGCGACATAAGACGATGCGATGCATTCAGAGGAGAAACAAGCCTGGTTCTATGCATGATTGTATAGTGGTGGATCTTATTTACACACCTCAAATTAGCGATCTATCTATGTATGGCATCAGGTTGAGAGAGCACACGGCGTAATTACTTACACGGGACGAGACTTCTACTGATTCTTCTATCGATGCTACCGGCGATTATGTTTCTCATTCTCTTGATTTTGACCCGTTTTGGACCTTAGCAGAGAAACTCTATATAATTATGACGGTTCTATGACGAGCATTACGAATGAACCCTCTTATCTCACAGCTTATCTCTTTTCACTATCCACACACCGTGAATAATCTGCCTGCAGACCAAGAGCCAGATTGTAATATATTGCCGCGGCGCACCATTCCTGCATTATTACATATATTTGGGCGCAATTCTGCGAGAGCGCGTCGAGCGGAGCGCGCGGTCATGATCAGTGCGAGAGTCGAGATGAGGTCGCTCGCGAGAGCGGTCTCTTACTTGAAGCATCTCTACGCCCTATCATTTTTCTCAGAACCTCCACGATGGTTACATGTTCTGTCATGGTATTCTTAACATCCTACGGTATGCCCACATCTCGAAGGCTTCCAGTTTCCGCTCCCAAAGCTCGTTGAGGGTCAAAGCTTCCATACCATACAAAAGAACTGAGAATATATAACATTATACGAGTTCTCAGATCTAAGCTCAAATCGCGGCTAAAGAGCAGCTTCTTAATCGTCACAAAGGATGCAAGGGCCTTCTCAATGCGAATCTTTATTTCTAAACAATAATCCGCGGTGCAGTCGACCCTTGTACCCAGGTAGTCATAACTCTCTACTCTTTCGAGCTCCTCGCCTTCAGCGTACAGATGTTCCATTGGGCACTCCCGCAGATTTTCCGGTGACAATCAATCAAGTTATTCTGCTGATCTGTCCGTGCTTAACCAGGTCACTGAACAGTACAAGAAATGGTACGAGACACGAACACCATCACTGTCCACGCACTCGACTACGAAGATGTGTGACTAGTGGTGATGACGTTATTTAACATATTCTGAAGGTCTTGCATGTTTTCAGCGAGAAGGACTGTATCGTTCGCGTAGCACAAATTGCTCAGTGGTATGCCGTTAACTAGTATTCCACCAGCATCATTTTCGAGGGCTTTGTTAAAGATTTCGTCTGAGTAGACGTTGAAAAGGAGTGGTGAAAGAACACATCCCTGTCTAACTCCTCGTTTGATATCCACTGCCCTCGTCAGTTCAGATTGGACGCGAACAGACGCACTTTGATTAAGGTACAGTTTTACTATTATTTGTATATCTCTTGTATCGAGATTTTTTCGTTCTAACGGTTCAATTAGTTGCTTGTATCTTACTTTATGCTTTATTATAGTCAATAAAACAGGCATATACGCTTTGATTGACATCAAGGCATCGCTGCATTAAGACATTGTAGGCAAACAAAGCCTCCCTAGTACCGAAACCATTTCTAAAGCCAAACTGAGTATCTGCTATATCTTCTTCTAATTTTCTGTAAATCCTGCGGCGGATGACTTTCAGAAAGATCTTAAGTGACTCATAAGGCTGATCGTGCGGTGTTCTTCACATTTTTTGGCATTATGCTTCTTTGGAATTGTGACAAACGTCGACTGGAGCCATTCCTTTGGTATCATCCCTGTTTCGTAGATCTTATTAAATAGAGAAGTGATAGCACCTAAGTGTTGTCCTTCAATCAACTTGAGCGCATCTACAGGTAGATCGTCAGGGCCAGGCGCTTTCCCATCTTTGGCTGCTTTTATTGCCGCTTGCACTTCTTCCTTTAAAATAGTAATTGTTAATGCTGGTAGTGATTTCTTCTCTTTGGTCGTTGAAAAGGGTTTCGATTATTATTAAAAATGGACTGTGATAAGATAACTTATGTTTTAAATTAACGCATGATGAACTCTCACTATCTTAACTAGAACTAAAATTAATGTACAAAAATTTGAAAATATTTTTTACATGCTGACTAATGTTGGTAGGACGAAGATTCTGACAGCGATGGTGCCAAGTCCAGTATTACCATGAAACCCTTATTAGATAGCACAACCAGTAACCAATCATCTGAGTCATCGGAAACATCGGAATCTTCAGAAAAAATATTTATGAATATTGATAGTCGAAGAGTTTCGGTAAGTCTACAATCTCTGTTTTGTTTTCCATTGTTTAAAAATGATGATTTCTCTAAATAGAGTGGCCATCAGGGACCCAGTCTTGCAGAAACTACTTAAATAACCAACATAGAATCAAAATACACAATTTCAAAAATAATTTACTCAATTTACACAAAAAAAACGATCAGTGGAGTGGAACATACTTTTCCAAAAAGCTAGAACGGTTGGAAAACAAGTTAGTGACAAATTGTAGAAAAGACGGCAATAAATATTATTATTGATTTCAATTATATTATATTATAATTATTATATCAGTATTTACCAATACTAAAATGTAAATGACTTCTGTTACTTTGCAATAAAATGACCCAATTATTAAAATATAGGTGAAAATTCATAAATAATTGATACTAATATATAGAGATATAAAAATACCTTATAAATATTATAAACGAACCCATATCATATTTAACTTTTCTTGTTAATTTGCAAATACTCAAAACCTTCTTTACCTTACTTGTTTTCGTCATTCGCCTTCGAACAGAATACGTGTCATGAAAGGTGATAGGCAGGAAATTTCAAAAACATTTTTCTTCCTACCCTGTTTGAAGTTCAGCGACCGACGAAAATGATTTACCCCAATATTTTAAAGCAACTTGAGAATTCCAAATTATTTTGCAAACAACAGAAAAAATAAAGAAATAAGTTATCTTAGAAAAGCTCTAAAATACTTGTTGCTATTTTTTATTTTAAATAGAAAACCATTATGAAGTATTTAAAAAAAATAATAAAATTATTTTATTTTTCGTTTCGAGATTATCAGTTCTTGCATTATCAAGTTTTTCTTGTTAAAGTTTACTCTGTGTATAATTTGGAATATTTTTGGGAGGGGATCGAGGCGGATTAATTAGTTTTTGGCGGATTAATTAGTTAATTTTTGGTATACACAGTTGGCGAAAAAAGTACATACAGTACTGTGTCCCAAGAAAGTGGACAAATTTTAGATTTGCGAAAATCTCTCTCTTTTAAATTATTAAAACAAGAAAATTAAAACTAAAAAATTATTTCATTAATTATTTTTTAAATAATTAAAGAACATAGGATATATATATATATATATATATATATATATATATATATATATATATATATATATATATATATATATATATATATATATATATATATATATATATATATATATATATATATATATATATATATATATATATATATATATCTATATATATATATATACAGGGTTGTTCACCACATACGACACGGAGTATTGTAGCTAAACGATTAGATTTTTACAAATTGTAAGTTTTGGGTTCGTTGAAGGACTATTAGAGCTACAATTTAAAAATAATTTTACAAAATACAGAGTGTCCCAAATAAGTATAAAATATTATAGTTGTATTTTTTTAAATGGAAAACCCTGTATATTACTCTATTTTTAGATTCTACGACTGAAATAAAGGTAAATTTGAATAAGGTTTATCGCACTTAAACCTTACTCTTTTTGAAATATTTTCAATTTTGTGAAATTGCAGTAAAAAATTTAAGGCTTCATATCTCCAAGGGTATTAAAGGTTTTAATACTAATTTAATAATTAATATTTACTGAAGATTGTTTATTGATCAAATATTATGTTGTAATAATAACAATTATATTACCTTATACAGAGTGTTCAAAAAAATATATTAAATAATTATTAGCTTTTAACGGCAATGTAACTTGTTTAATTTAAACGGAACACCCTGTATATTTTACGTGAATCAGATGCACAATTTAATTGTCTATCAAATTCTGTTACACCATTTTTTACCTATTTCTTCAAGTTTTCGTAGAAAATGCATTTTCTTATTATTTAGACCTCATTTATCACTATACCCATGGAATATTGACATTTTACATTTTTTTAAAGCAACATATGTACAAAATATACAAGTGGTAAAAATAATAATATTGCAAGCAGATTTGTTTACAAAAAGAAAACTATTTAAATCTTTGTAAAAGAGTATAGGTACCAATTATTACTAATTATTAATATACTCCGCCTATTATTTCCGCTATAATTAGTTAAGTACATACCTAATTGTTTTAATTAATAAATTATTCTAAATAAATGTGGATGTGATTCAGAAATCAATACAATAATAAGTTATGAACATGAACGTCTCTGTTGTTATAAATAAACATTCGTTAAAAAAAGAAATAAAATTTATAAGGTGTTAATTTTTACCATACCGTCTAATACACATACAAAATTGAGTTTTTTAGTATTTCGAGCAATTATTATTAATCAACGTAAACAGTCAATTAATGTAGTTTAAATACTGGGATCATTGGCATCATTAATTGGTGCTATTTAGCAAATATTTAAACAGTTTTTCTTTTTTTTAATGAAATAAGCGAATTATATCGACAATATTAGTATCTGGTACTTTTTGAAAATTTCTTACATTTTTAAAAATAATCCAAAATGTCAATATTCCATAGGTAGGTCCATATATGTAGTGATAAATGAGGTCTAAATTATAAGAAAATGCTACTTCTACGAAAACTGGAAGAGATAGGTAATGGTAAAAAATGGTATAATACAGTTTGATAGACAATTAAATTGTGCATCTGATTCTCGTGAAATATACAGGGTGTTCCATTTAAATTAAACAAGTTATTGCCGTTTAAAGCTAGAAATTATTTAATATAAATTTTTAGACACCCTGTATAAGGTAGTATTTTGTTTATTATTGCAACACGATATCTGATCAATAAATAAACTTCAGTAATTATTTAGTATTAAAAACTTCGATACCCTTGGAGAAATGAAGCCTTAAAATTTTTACTGCAATTTCATAAAATTGAAAATATTTCAAAAACCGTAAGGTTTAAGTGTGATAAACTTTAATCAAATTTACCTTTATTTTAATCGTAGAATTACAGATAACATATAATCTAAATTATGTTATCTGTGGTAGAATCTAAAAAATTTAAAAATATAATAATATACAGGGTGTTCCTTTAAAAAAAATACAACTATAATATTTTTTTACTTATTTGGGATACTCTGTATCTTGTAAAAATATTTTCAAATTGTAGCTCTAATAATCCTTCGACGAACTCAAAACTTAATTTGTAAAAATTTAATCGTTTAGCTACAATACTCTATGTCGTATGTGGTGAACAACCCTGTGTATCTCCTGGAACATTAGGGGTTTTTTCCTTTTTTTAAGATTCTTTTCTTTTTCAAGCTTGTTTTACAAATAAAAATCTACAGACAAATAAGTTTCCGTTTTTATTCTAAGCAGTGATATTTTACAGAAAAACATAATTGTTTTATTTTTTAAATTTCTCTTTTAACGAGGAAATATGTAGGTTTTTTTCAAGAAATACTTCTTTAATGGTTTAAT